TTGACTGATCATATGAGTACCATGAGTCATCATAGTAGAATCCATGTTCTGTTGTTGTGAATCAGCGGAAGCAGTATTATGAAAACCAGAGTAATCTTGTTGATTATCAGTGGAGACAAGTGCAACAGTAGAGTCTTTTTGATTGTAAACTCTTTGAGATGACTGAAGTGGTCTCAGAGAAGCCTGGATTCTTATACTGTGATGGTCTAGGACCAGAAGCCATATATTGCTGTTGATTAGGCTGTTGCTTATAACCAGCAGGGAATTATTGTTGTTGAGGACAAAATCCGACACCAGGATTAGGAGCCCTGTATCCAAGAGGATACCCATAAATCTGATAGCACTTATTGATTGTGTGCCCCAACAAACCACAATGCGTACAGAGAGGTCGTTTAGATCGATATGCATTGTAGGCCGCAGAAAATTCAGTAACTCCAAGATCAGATGACGTATTACCAGGAGGAAACTGACTCTGGGCATAGAAAATTGCAGGATCAACGAAAGACGTCATAGAATTGTGACTTTCATCTCATGCCACAATATTGTAAGAATTCACCATGGTAAGGAGTGGCTTATGCATAAGAATGTGACGACGAGTCTATTCATAGGAATCATCAAGATCCATGAGAAACTTGGTGACCTTACTACGTTCCTGAAGACGTTCCCAAAGCACAGAAATACCACAATCACATTTGCCACAAATGCATAAGGGAAGCTCAACGTAATTCTTATGCTCCTCTTAGAGAGTATTAAGCTTTGTATAGTACGAAATAACATCCATAGATCCTTGGGGAATCGAGTTACCTCTATTCAATCTTGTAAACATGTGGTGCTTCATCTTGTTTAAATCTACTCATGATATTATTCCAAATTCCTTCATCACTAGAGATAAACAGAAGACTCTGGCCTATCTTTTTGCTAACCGAGTTCATCAACCATGTTGCAACCAAATCGTTACAACGGGACTAAGATCCAGCATCAGGATGATCATCAGGGGGTTTAGACACCGTATCATTGATAAATCCAAGTTTATTTTGGATGTTAAGAGCTATTTGAACGTAGCGACGCCATGAGTGGAAGTCGTCACCGGAAGTGAGACTATCAGTGACGAGCTGCAAACCGGCATGATCTGTATGGTGAAGGAAGTATGGATTATCATACTGATAGAAAGGTTGGCGAGTCGGATCTTGTGAACATGAGAATCGAAAGACATGGTGAGTTAACTCAGTGAAACGGCGATCAAATCCCTAGATATTGGGAACAAGAAGAAACAGATCCGAATCCGTTTAGTCGGAGAATCGGATGATGAAACAAAGAATATAGAAAGAATATGAATGGAGGAAAGTGATGATAATGTGAAGAACATGAAGAAGAGGAAGATCTGAAAGCGAAACACTCATGATCATGGAGATTATTTTCGCTCTGGTACCATATTAACAGAGAAACGATATGTGAAATGAAAATGAATAAAGTTATTAAAGTGTTCACTGTACAGCAGTTGTCTTATATACAAGCTCAAATAATATAACTGCCTAACTGACTCCTATAGTATATACACGTGTACTCTTATGCTAATATGTATCAGTTAGTCCATTTATTAGCTAACATACCAAGTAGTAAATAGTGCACAAGTTAAACAATTTATGAGATACACAAATCATATATTAGTAAAGGACAAGTATTTTGTAACATGTACCAAGCATATATCAATTCACTGGTATCAAACTATGCACCAACTAACAAAACATGAAACAAGTAACAAATCAATTTAATAAACCATTTATCAAGCAATGTATTAACTCCCAAACTATGTATCAACCCATTTATCATCTAACAAACCATGTATCAAACAATATACGTAAAACAAAGTAAAAATGTAAAATTTGATAAAATTGTACGTAAATAGTATTGTGTAACTAAGTAAATATCGATTAAGTGAATATTATCTATTACGTGAATATTTATTAATAATTACTAAAAATTAAAAGTCGCATAAAAAAGAATTTGTATAATATAGAAATAAAATATAAATTAGATAGAAAATATTATTTTACATATATTTTCATTTAAATAATAGTCCAATGTAAATTCAATATGATACATGTTGAAGAGTATAAAATATATAGAACCATATTTTCAATACTATATTTTTTTTATTATACAGTATCATAAAATTTGGTTCCCAAAAAAACATTTATGCGGATCCACAGGTGATATTCTAACAATACAGATGATAAAATTAATGGTTTACTTGATAAAATAAAATTATTCAGTATATTATATAATGTTTTTATGTTTTAAAATGTCATATTAAATCATTATTTAATATGTTAATACGGTTAAATATTTATTATTGCTTAGGCAAAATAAATATTTTTATATATAAAATCAAAAAAACACCAGCGTGATCTTGTATAAGATTAATTTCAAAATATTCTGAAATATAATATAAGAGATCCTTTAAATATTTTAAAAACATTTGTTAACATTCTCAAGACATTGATGATAATATAAATTTAAATTGATGATTCATCAGTCAAAATCATTAAAAATATGACAAATAAACAAAATTACATAAAATTATGTAGAATTCTTAAATAATAGTATAGATTTTTCAGAATCTTAATAAATGTTTTAAGATTTTATATTTAAGAAGTATATATAGCAAATCTCTCCAAATTAATGATTATGTTGAATGGAAAGTGTTAGTAATAAAAATAATAAATGGAGTGAGCATATATGTCATCTTCTCCGCATTCATCTTACATCCCATAACCTATTTTAAAAGATTTCCAGTTTCTTCAATCAACGTTGTGCATCCACAAGGATGAAGTTGGTGATTTTCATCTCATTGTTGCTTGTATTCCCATTGTGTTCTTCAGGTATTCACAAATTAGATTAGCAAAATCTATACGAAAGTATAACACTTAATTTAGTTAAGCATGAATTACAAATTACTATACTACTCCATATAAACTAATATATGTATATATCTATAAAACTTTTCATATATACTAAAAACATACTACTGTAATTATATATAAATTGTTTTACGATTAATAGTTTTTAATATATCTAAATCAATAGCAATTTAGTAAAATCATTTTTAAGTTTACAATTATCGTCATCAACTAATAGATATATGTTATTACGTAGAAATATTCAAAAAAAAAATATTAATCTATAATATTATTTTTGAAGTGATTTTTTGGTTCTGAGCTCTCACGTTAAAAATTAGAGCGGCAAAATGTTGTTGTTATCCTCAATAAAGAATTAAATTAACTTATTATAAAATTAATATTAACTTAATACTTATATAATAAATATATTATATAGTTAAAAGATAATTCTTTATATATACTTTCTTGTTATCCTTAAATACTATTTTAATCATAAATAATTAAAAGTTAATAAACAGAAAGATTATAACTAAATATTAACTAGTTAAAAAATCATCTTTTGTATATAAACTCTCACGTTAAAATTTATAACAATTAAAGTATTTAAATTAATTATGCATATAATAACTATTAGTAAAATGATTATGTCTCTTTATGCGGACAAAACACCTTATTTTAAGTGAAAAAAATATTAAGAAAATTATAAGAAAGTTTTTATCTTTTTGTCTATGTTAATTGTGTTAACCATTTAATAACCAAGTTCTAATGTGATTTACACGGATTTTAACCTAAATTTTAATAATATTTTTTAAAACTCATTAGAAATACTATTATACACCTTGTGTTATATTAAAAAAAATTATATACATGTACATATATATATATATATATATTACATTTTTGTAATTGAATATATATATATATATATTTACGTTTGCATCTGTTTTTTCTTAGGATTTGAGAATGACAATGGAGTTACTCAAGTAAGTCAACATTCCTCAGACAAGGTAAGCATGCAATAAAATAACATGTTCGACTCTTATATTTTGTTAACTTATGATAATAAGGTAATATTAAGCTGAGAACTAAATTTGGTCAACGTGAAAACGATTATGGTGTTTTTTTCTTTACCATGAAATAACATTATTTTCGCATTTGCTAAATTTATCAGCGCAAAAACAATTGTTTAAAAAACTGTTTTGAATGTATATGTCTGCTACTCGTTGTTAGCCAAATTTGGGCCTGAATTTAGCTATTTTACCTAGTTAAACCTAATAATTTGTCATGGTTTAAATAAATCAGTAATTGTTGCTTTTTGAAGCTTAAATAATAATTGTTTTTTTTTGCTTAAATCACATATTTTACTAACATCAACGATAATACGAACATAGCGTGACATATTTTCCACAGTAAAGGAAAAGTATAATGTAATATCTAGAAAAATAAAATGACATTTGAAAGAAAAAAACCGTAATCATTTGACCATTAATCAGCAATTGTTGGGGGTGCAAAATATTAAATATGTAACGCAGGTCACACATAATCTTGACAACCTGATGGACTATGGAGACTTCAATCCCCCTCCCAAATATGTTCGACCTCCTCTTATTGATCCATCACCGCCACCACCACCACCACCGCGTCCACCCAGAAATGATAAACTTACAGTAAAGGAGAAAAATATGTAATATTGGATCAGTCTAAATATCAATTTATTAACAAGTTCTATCTACACTCTTTTTTCTTCTTTGCATTATTTGCGGAATTAAACTTCCTTCTATCTACACATTTTCTACGCAAGTTATCGTATTCAAAAAATAATATATTACCCAAAGATAGAAATCCAACAAGTAGTTTTTCTCAGATGTATTAACAAAGTCGCAAACCATCGGTTATTGATCTTAACCAAAGCTAAATAGCACTGAACCACAAAAATCCGGTATTGAACGCTAAATTCCCGGTTTGACCAGTTACCAATATAACCAAACTGGTACCGACTCATCCTTCCTTCCAAGTTATATGATTTAAGCAGAGTTGAGTTATGCAAGTTTAACAGTTTCTAACGAACTTCCAAAGATGCCAAGACTGATTCTCTCTCCGATGGCCACGTCAACTCATCTCCTTCTCCTCTTCCTCATCGCCACCGTCACATTCCTCACTTCCACCGCTTATCCTCCGTCACAGACGCCGCAAGATCACCTCCACGCCGACAGAATCATCGAAGCGATGATCGGAGCAGGTGACTTCCGCGACTGGGCCTCCGATTTCCTCTTCGCCGTCGAAGACCAAGTCGGAATCCCTCTCTCCGCCACCGTTTTCATCCCCACCGACTTCGACACCGCCGACATCTCCTCATCCTCCAACGGCGGTCGTCTCTCCGTCGCTTATCACATCGTTCCTCAACGTCTCTCCTTCACCGATCTTCGTTTCTTGCAGCCTCTCTCTCGCCTCCCGACTCTTCTCCCCGGAAAGTCTATCGTCGTCACGAATAATTCTGTTTCCGGTTTAACCGTTGACGGCGTTCTTGTCACCGAACCGGATCTTTTCCTCTCTTCTCCGATTGCTATTCACGGTGTCGCTTCGTCTCTTGATTTCTCGCTTTATGGTGATTTTGGAAACGGTTATACTGTTTCAGACGACTTTCTTCATCTTCGTCGTCGTCCTGAATTCGACGGCAATCAAACATCGGCTTCTTCTCATGTGTCCATCGCACGTTTCTCAACATGGTCGTTCTTGTTCACATTGGCTACGTTCATGGGGTCAAGATCTCTCTAAATGGCGGGAAAGTTGTTCTTAAATTCTGTTTTTTTTTTTTTAAGAATCTGTGAAACTCTGTACATAATTCTCTATAGTTCATCCCGTTTCTTTGAACTTGGGAGCTTTCTTCTTGTTTAGTTGTAATCTTGCCATTTTCGCATTTGTCTTTAACGAAAGAAATACAACAACAGCATAACATTTGACATAATTTTCTGTACTATTTAATTAATTTTATATCTTGAAAATCCTTAGTCAAAATAATAAATAAATATCNTCTGTACATAATTCTCTATAGTTCATCCCGTTTCTTTGAACTTGGGAGCTTTCTTCTTGTTTAGTTGTAATCTTGCCATTTTCGCATTTGTCTTTAACGAAAGAAATACAACAACAGCATAACATTTGACATAATTTTCTGTACTATTTAATTAATTTTATATCTTGAAAATCCTTAGTCAAAATAATAAATAAATATCTCACGTTGTTGATATATTTGATATCTTTTCATTTAACTTTGACTCCCACATCCCATGATTAATACAAATTAACTTATTCAAGAACTATCATGAACTTATGATATTCTTCAATTTTTTTTTTGAACTAGATACAATATTACGTTAAATGAATATTTTCATATTAATTATTTATAATATTCCACATTTTCCAGTTTATAAGATTTTTTGGCTAAAAGTGAAAGATTTAAAAAACATTATCTTTTACAAAAAAAGTTATTTAACATTTAATTTTAAATAATGTATAATATTTTTTAACATTTAATAATGCAGAATATTTATAGCCACTATATATTAAATAAATACATTTCCATGAAAACTTGGGAAAATCAAATAAATTAGAGCACAAATTAAAAGGTTGTAAAATGATCCGTAAACTAGGTAATAATCCGCGCCTTGCACGTAATGAGAATATTATTTTATGTTACTTTTAATATAAAAATGATATTACGTTGGTTTTTTAATGTTCCAAAATATAACTATCATTGTAAATTTATATTTATTTTGGTTTGTTTGATTTAAATGTTTGATGTTTTAAAAAAATTTCAATGATAACCAAAAACTATTGTTATTTGTTTGGTTTCGTTTTATATAAATTTTAGACATTTTTTATGTCGAACTAATAGTTTCCTATTATAATTTCTAAAGACATGTAAAATCAAATAAAATATAAATAATATTTGAAGAAAAAAAAAATTATTAACACAAAACATTTCACTACAATTTGAAAAAAAATCAACTTCAATAAGAATTAAAATTCTCACTTGTGGTGAATATTTAGTTATATAGTCGCTCATGTCAATATATACATCTTTGTATATGTAAAAATATATAAATGTGATGATAAATATATGAATATACCGTTAACAAAGTTTTAAAACATTTTTGTTTAAAATAACACATGATAGTAAATTCTTGAATAAAATTAAGTAAAAATAAACAAACCTAGAAATTAATAATACTTTTTCATATGAAGAAAATCAAATTGTACCCGTAAATAATAAAATAATATATTTTACAAAGTGATATCTTCACTTGGTACCTGAGTTCTGTTTTTAATCGATTTGTAATTTTTATTTCTTTTTAAAGCTTTTTTTATTTCTGATTTTCTTCTACCAATTTGATTTTGTTTCTAATTCTTGGTCTGAAATGAAAATTTTATAAAAATATTAATATTTGACTAAACTAAAGATCTGACTTTACATGTTGTGTTTTCACCCTAGTTTTTTTAATTCATAATCAATCACCATATTTGTTGTTATTGTGTACTAAAGTCTCAACCATGACCAACTTCGGTAAGGTACAAAATTTTCAATTTCTATAAACATTTTCATCACAACATTTTAGTTGATGCGAATCTTAATGATTTTGTAAATTTTTTTACAATAAAGATACTATTCATTAGTTTCACGTAGAAAGTTTTAATTTATTAATACAAAGGTTAAAAATGTAGGAAAGTGAATTAATTAAAAATAGTATATAAACACATTAAATAATAAATTTAAAAATTAAAATGTAAACGTATTAATTCTTAAATGATTGGGAAGGCGACACGTATCAATTATAGTGTAAATGTATTTATTACAATTTTTTTTTAATATATAAAGAATCTCATGGAAATGAAAAATAAATACGTGGATGGAACACTGATGTGATGTTTTCGAGGATATTGTACCGGTTACGTCATCAGTGGCTTTGACTACAAGAATTGATTGTGAAACCGAAAACAATCTCGAAAGAGGAAAAGAATCTGAATAGGTATCGTGATGGTCTAATTAAAATGAGAAAGGTTGGTTGTTTGAAAGACCTTGTGTTTCTAGTCTTTTAGTTTAAATTTCCACAGACTAAATATTTTATTATATTCTTTGTGTGCTTAATTTTCTTCTAAAACCAACAAATGTTAGTAAAAACAATTAATACATATTTAGACTTTTGGAAATAAACAATTAATACATGTTTAGACTTTTGGAAATAAACAATTATTTTATGGTCAGTCAAACTCAATGTTAGAAAAAACAATTAATACATGTTTTAGACCTTTTGAAGTAAACAATTTACTGGTGGTCAGTCAAATTAAATTCAACCTACAAGGCCAAATGGCAACAACATTAATAGATAGAGATAAATTTATATATATATATATATATATACACAGAAGCATGAGGTTAGTTCTAAACAATTTACAAAAAAATATCGGAATAAAGCTCTGAAGAATGAAGCTTTTGATTTTCATATCGTTCTTGCTCATGCTTATGTTGTGCTCTTCAGGTAATTAAATTTGTATGCTAAAATATCTTCAAACTTTAAATTAGTATTCTAATTTCAATACTATATCAGTATATATATATATATATACTTTGTCTACTTCAGACGAATATTTTCTGAAAATATCAACGTTAATTCCGACATATATAATCTGAACTTTGTATATATATTATTAGGATCTGTGGAGGGTCACGAAATTGCTGATAACGACCTCTATTCCTCGAACAAGGTATGCATTAATTTCAATAACTAAATGTTCTTTCTTTGTAGGGACCCCTTCTTTGTATTTTTATTGTTTTTCTTGTCTCAAGAGTCCTTAGTGATTAAAAAATAATTTTTCAATCGTCATTTTTTAAAACAAATACGTATGTAGTAGTTTTTCACTTTTTTGTAACTCATGTGTAAATTTACCTTAAAATAATTGTCTGTGATGCAAAAAACAAAATGTAATAATAGGTTGAAGAGCTATATAGTGGTCGAATGATTCCTCCAACAGGCCCAAACCCAGGACACGATCCGAGAGTTCCTGCACCTCCATCTTCTGAAGAGCTATATAGTGATCGAATGATGGATTATCCTCCAACAGGCCCAAACCCAAGACACGATCCGAGAGTTCCTCCACCTCCACCTTCTGAAGAGCTATATAGTGATCGAATGATGGATTATCCTCCAACAGGCCCAAATCCAAGACACGACCCGAGAGTTCCTCCACCTCCACCTTCTGAAGAGCTATATAGTGATCGAATGATGGATTATCCTCCAACAGGTCCAAACCCAAGACACGACCCGAGAGTTCCTCCACCTCCACCTTCCGACAAAGAAAACAAGATGAAAATTATGTCAACTGAGTAAATGATCGTATTGAAATCCATTCCATCTTTGTAAAACAAAATATATAATTAAATAAATTGCATGTGAGTGCTTATTTTTATATTTAAACTAGGTGTTTGCCCGTAATTTTGCAGATAGTACTATAATACGAATAAATATATCTTATATTTTATAGTTTTCTAATTTATGAATAATAATTAAAATATTAAAATTAAATTTTTTAACTTTAAATAGTTTAATAATCAAAATATCATTATATATCGAGATATGAGATTTAAAATAGTTCAACAACATAATTCTACGTTTGTTAATTTTTTTCTCTTATATAAAGATAATATTAGAATTATTTCACATATTATTTTTTGTTTTATTTTAATACGTGAAAACAGAAATATCATAATCTCCAAAAGAGAAAAAGTGTTATTTTGTGTATCTTTAACACGATTTTTGAAGATTTTTGTAGGTCTAACATCCGCTTTGCAAATTTTCTTTTACATATGAGTCATTGCTTGATTTGATTGTATTCAATTTATTTAAATTAAAATCAAATAGATTTTTTTATAGGTGTTTCTTTCAAAAACTTTGGCAAAAATAAAAAAAAATTGGATATGATTAAATTATATATTTTAGATATGAATAAGGTATTTAAATCTCAAAAAGTACAGATAATTAATTGGTGAATTAGTTTTTGTTTTAGTATCCATATAGAAAATGTACCAGAGTTTTTTTTTAAATTTAACCAATGAACTTAAGTGTAATAAAAAAATCACTTAAATAATTTCTCTTTGAACAATAAAAATGAGATATAATTTATATAATTTATAAATCCTTATAAATATACATATGATTATAGATATATTTATAACAATTTAAAAATAATTATTTATAAACTTTATATTTTTTATGGTTTACCTTGTTTAACTGTTTGATTACATGACTTAATTATATATAAATAACTTAAAAACAAATTGATGAAATATTATATTTTCTTTCTATAATTCAACTATTAGTTATCATAAATCATTATTTGTAAGATTTTTTNTATGATTATAGATATATTTATAACAATTTAAAAATAATTATTTATAAACTTTATATTTTTTATGGTTTACCTTGTTTAACTGTTTGATTACATGACTTAATTATATATAAATAACTTAAAAACAAATTGATGAAATATTATATTTTCTTTCTATAATTCAACTATTAGTTATCATAAATCATTATTTGTAAGATTTTTTTGTGTTGTTTGGTAATTTATATTAATTGGTTCTAAATTTTTTTAATTTTTAGATCTGATTAAAATGTATAATTAATAAAACTAATCAACCAATCGAATTATAACAATTTTCTAAAACGTCACTTATCAGTGACATATAAGCAAAAGACAATTACATGACTTTCCAATTAATA